AGAGAGAGAGAGAGAGAGAGAGAGAGAGAGAAAAAAAATAGAAAGAAAGAAAGACTATACCGTCTCTACAATAATTTAAAGAGTAAATTAGACCTGCTAAATCCTCGTCGAAAGTCATGGATATTCTCAAAACAACAACAATCTATCACAAATTCTATTCTATTTTGTCATCGTTCATCTCACTATATTTTTTATAACTTATGAATAATAATCTGATCATTCTAAATGATTTACATTACTTCAAAACCTTACATATATTTTGATAAAAAGAATTATACGTTATAATGATATAACGTTTAATAAGGAAACAAAATTTATCTTGAAAATTTTCTAACTTTTTTTCTATAGAAAAGAACCGACGAGTCATAATTTTAATAGGTTTATATAATATATTATATATATATATTATTATATTACATTATTAATAGGTTTATATCACGTAAAATAAAATAAAATAAAATAATTTATGTTCCTTTTGAAACGATGCAATTTCTTATCGTGTTTTAATAATTTTATAATAAACCGATTATTTTTAAATGTTATTTGAGAGAACTGTGCGAGTTATGTGAATCAATCTGTATTGAAAAAGGATCGTTTAAAAAATTGACTTACGTCCACTTTAATACCCTCGACGTGATAACTATGTTGTGTCGGGTCACTCCTGGGTACGTATCTATAGAATTCTTCGTGATCCTTGTACCACGAAAAAGAATAGAGCTTGTCCGATTCTAGATCATAGCTGAAACAATAAAAGAAAGACCATTGTGAGCTATTAAATTCGTCTCGAATGATAGTACGCGCACACCTGCGCGTATTCACTTTTATGAAAGAGACACTTTAACACACTGTATTTATATTCAAAAGTTATAAGACATTGTGAACGAATAGTGAACGATGAAATATTTATAACTATTGTGACGTCACCGTCACTATTTAACATATAATATTTTTGCAATATTTTAATTAATTATAAGATAGAGATAAGCAAGACTTATTTTAGTAGTTTAATAAATAATAAACGAAAATATCGTCCCGGTAGTTCAACTAAAGTATTAATATGATGTATATTCAGTGATTTAAATATTAAAGCCAGTCGAGTTAAATTACAGTTGTAAATATGAAAGATCGATAAAGTAAATTACAATGATCTAATAAAAGAAACAGATGAAACTAATATCAAGTAATTTAATTAAAGCACACGAGCGAGGCTCATTTCAGTGATTTAACACGCGATACTTTTAATTAATATATTTTTATAAACACAACGATTATTTGCGGTATTTAACGAGCGAAAATTAGAATTATTTTTATTTCAATTACATGGTTGATCTTGTTATTTACTGTAAAAGTAATATTATTGTTTTGCTTATCAATTATTGGAAGTAATATTGAATAAATAAAAAGATTTTTTTTTATCGAATACAATCTAGAGATGTTTTTTCAATATTTGATATACTCGTTAATTATATATAATTGATATTTGAAATTAATATTTAGATGAATATTTTAAAACCCGTCAAGTTACGTTATTTAACGAGCTAAAATTAGAAATATCCTTTTTCATACGATCAAACTCGTTATTCGTAGTAAAAGCAATTTTTCCTGTTTGCCGCGTGTATCGAAAGCAACATTTAAACGAAAAAAAAAAAA